GCGTACAACCACGAAAAAGCTTGTGACAGAAACGACGTCAACAACAACTACTACTACAGCCGAAACTAGTTTCAATACAGCAACGTCAATACAATCAACAAATGGAGATATTGAAACGGAAGCTTCCATAATGAATAGACGACTTTGATCATGCATGATCTTTTATTTTTAGTTTAAAAAACTTAATCTTTGAAAAGAATAGAGTATTGATCTTTCTCAAGTTTGAGAAAGTTGTCTTGAATAATATAATTAAAAAAAGTAAAGTTGTTTGTTTCATTTGCGGTTGTTCAATTTAAATAGGGGAAAATAGCATAAAATATAGATTTTTCATTTAACATTGACTGTTATCAACTAAATACTTTTGTACGCGATTATTGTCACTATCCACCACAACGAGATTTCCCTTAGTATCAAACTTTAAACTTGTAGGATTGTTCAATTGATTCGGATTTAATCCAAATGTGCCAGTACTTCCTACAAGTATTGATCTTGCTTGAGTCTCGTCTTTAAACCATTGCAAAATTCGATGGTTACCAGCGTCAGCAATAAACATTGTACCACGGCTATCAATAATAACTGCTCTCGGGGAACTCAGTTCTCCAAGACCAGATCCAGCAAGTGAGAGAGGATTTCCAGCGACGGTTATTCCTTTTGATGTTCCTTTTTTCCAAAGTTGTATCCTATGATTACGTGTATCAGCGACGTAAATATTTAGATCATCATCAACAAATATTCCCTCAGGTGCTTGCAGATGCTCAGAATCAGTTCCAAATCCATTTCCGCCAGCAACCACATCAAAACTTGAATTAGAGTTAAACCATAAAATCACTCGATTATTATTTGTGTCACAAATGTAAGTATTTTCTAGTCGAACAACGAGACTATAACAAACGCTAAAAACTTCCGTTGGTACGATTACAGTACTTACACCTGATCCGTTCTTGTTAATTCGTTCAATACGCTCTATATGGAATGCAAAGGTGGACAGATAAATGGCTTGTTCGTCTGCACTCAAAGCAATTCCTCGTATGCTTAAACGGTTCAAGATAGGATATCCTTCAACAGCATTCGATGTGTATCTTATTAGACGACTGTTCAGTGTGTCAGAAATGTAGATATCGTTATTATTATCTATTACTAGATCACGTGGTTTGTAGAGTAGATTAAGCGAATCGCCATGAATTCCGTCTTCAGAACCAGCGATGGTAGTGCCGTTGTCATTCCATGTTGACAATAGACATTCCGGATCTGGACGTTTGGTTGTAGTTGTCGCTAATGATATTTAAAGAAAGAAAACATGAACACATTGATTATTCTCGATTCAATGAATAGTGGACTCGGCTAACACTTGTATAACTTCTGAATGAGGGTGTGGGTGTAATTGAGAGGTCAAGACGATTCTCACACCGATACCTTCAAGATTTTTTTCCAGCTTATGAATTTGTAGCCTAATAGAAGCCAAAAAAAGATTTGAGATACTCACTGCTTGTTGTTAATGGTGTGGTCCATTTAGTTGAATTTGAGACTAAATAAACAAACAAAGCAACAGTTGCAAGTGGTATTATTTCTATATTTATCGGTCATGAAAAATAAGACTGAATTAGTTTAGTAAATTAGTATTAAAAATTAATGAATTTAAGTGAGCGGATGGGTATGGATGTAGTATTCTTTTGTTCTACTTACACACCCACACTCACACCATATACGATTTTCGAATTCTTACTTGAAAGTTCAGTAGTACCATCATCTGTGCTTATATTTGATTTTCTTCCAACGGTTACACCCACTGCAACACCAGTTATGATCAGTATTACCATTATTACTGCTGTAACAATTATAACACGTTTTTTATTGTTCGTGATCCATTGTAGGCAGCCATTCTTTGGATGTGGGTGTGGGTCTTCGATGCTGATCCGTTCTACGTCGTGAGGCCATTTATCTCGACCAGAATTATTGTTATCAGGGGTGTCCGGTCTAGACGGCGCAGATGGAATAGATGATTGATTGTCACCAAAGGGAGAATCAGGTTTGACCTTCGGTCGAGATCGACACTTTGCCTAAGATGATTCACAGAAAAGTAGTCGCCATATACATTCTACTACGTCTGAGTTAAAACACTTACCTCATGTAGATCGAAATAAGCGGTTGGGTACTTCTCATGACAGTAACGACATTCGATTTCAAGTAGTGATATAGTAGGAATATCTTTCATTATTAATTTTGAAGCTGAAAATCGTTACACGAAACACTTGTTATACCTCTTTCTTTTATGATCTTCAAGCAAAATAATATCATACACTACCGAATATAAGAAGAAATTTTACAATCGCTATCATAATAATAGACGATAAGGAAGACAAAAAGAATGCTAAATATGAAGCGCCTGTATTTTCTCTAGTAATCATAGAGAAGAAAAAGCAAAGTAATATAAATTCTGGCCACATAGAAACGATCTGAATGATATAAATGTTTTTCTTTTCTGTCTTTTACGACAGCAAACGGTGCTCTTTTTTCCTTAAGCTGATAGTCATATTTTGCTTTGTCTATCAACATGTACAGCACAATATGATAAAATAAAACATAATGTCAAAAAATTCACAAAGAATAAACAGTAGTAATTAATAAAATGAAGCTAAGGGGTGATCAGTTTGTGAAGATGTCGTAACAAATCGGACTATCTTGACGATGTATGCACACCTTCAAAATGACGAATGAAAAAGTGATATACTCAGTTTGTTGTCTTTGTTAGCATATATTCAAGCTGTAAAATATTTCACTGTAGAAGTCGTACCATTAGTGACATATCATCTTGATAAAGTTTTTTTTTCTCTTATTGCTTTGTTTGTCTTCAAAGCATAAGGTTAGTAAATATTCACTTTAGATAAAAGTAACACATTGATGAAATTAA